TATATATATATAGGTATATATCTATCTATACATACATACATACTATATTGCCAAAAGTATTAGGGTGCCTGCCTTTACTCGCACATGAACTTTAATGGCATCCCAGTCTTAGTCCATATAAGTATAGGCATTAGGTCCAGGGTTATGTTTAGGGATTAAGTTGAGTTAAGAGTGCATATAAAGCCAAAGATTTTTGCTATAGCGGGGCATGTTTAAAACCTCCTTCAGGTTTGTATTGCTTTTTGTGAAACCGTCCCCTGTCCCCAGGGCAAAAGTAAGTAGCTCACTTATTTGCACCCTCCATTTGCTTATACTCAACTTTATTTTACTCCCCTGCCACTCCCTCTGCCCCTTTACACAGAGCTTGTTCTGGGCGAATGCAGCATTAGGGAGGAGGTGTTGGGCAGGATTAAGTGTGCCCCTTGCTTTTTCCTGCCTGGGCAAGGCACAGATTCCCTTTAAAGGCATTTTGTTCCCTTTTTAATGGGATGTTTTTTGGGGGCTACAATCTTTAATGGGATGGTTTTTTTTGGGCTACAATCTTAATCACATTGTCAGATCTTGCTCAGTCCTATTTTTCACAATTAATATTCTATTTTTATACACTCCGTGAGCATATTCACTCTGAGCAGTTGGTGAAGAACTCCAGGAACATTTTTATTAACAAAAGACAAAAAAAAAGTTTACAAAAAATGATACTTACCTGAACCACAGAGCTGGCTTGTTCTTAGGCTGGTCCTTTTAGTTTCTCTCCCCCTCCTCTGCAGCGGTCTAAGGTCCTATAAATCATCATGCCTATACACTGTGTATAGGATGTTGAGGAACATTCTAATGCTGCAGCGTAGGAGTAGACAGGCTGGAGGGAGCGATGTCACACCTGGCTGACTCAGGGCTTCAGGTGAGTATAATTTTGTTATTTTTTAACCAAGACAGAAAAGAGCCCTTGACACTTTCAGTACGGGGGTAGCCTAACTGCAAGGGTTAACAAAAATTTAAAGGAAGAATTTCAAAAATGTCAAACATTTTAAAGAGGAATTTGGAGTTCTTCTTTATTTGAACAAACTGAAGAGAGAAGCTGATTGGTTACTAGGGGCAACTGCTCCAGATTCTTCTGCTCCAGTTTTGATAAATTCCCCCCAGAGTTTCCTTTTAACTTGTATCTGCTTGCATTTAGTTGTGCGCATAATCCAGTTTATATAATCAGGTAGAAGTATGGCGTGCGCCGCTCACAAACCCTAGATTGGTTCAACCTCCTGGAAAACCGGGTGATAAACACCAGCAGGGGCTCATTTTATGCTCCACCGAGCGTAGAAATCCATAGAGGAAAAAAACGATACACTACATGAAGATTCAGAACCTGAATGAATAAAATTACCAGCGTTTGAATCTTCACGTAGTGCAGCCATTTTCCCCCCCTGGATTTATATAATAAGACATTCTGCTGATGAGGTTCAGTAAAATCCACATTAAACGCAATAACAGAAACATCTGGTCCATTACATACTGCAGACCTCAACATACACGGAGTATCTGAAACCTTGTTCCAAACCTATCCATAGGTCCTAGCAATGGGGCATGTTTTATGAATGGCAGCTAAATAACATTGTAACACATGCCCACAATATATGGTATGATTAGTAGACATTCACATACAATCATCCATATTGAAGGTTAGTTCTATTTGACAATAAGACACATAGGTAATGTTTAATCTTTATTTTGTTAATGCTAGTCCAAAGAGCATCAACATCAGCTAGCATTTAACATGCTTTGAGCAGTTTTCCTAAATCCCTTAAAGCTGAACACTAGACAGATGTAAAAGATGCAAATTAATGCAGCTCGATGACACATTATTCAATTACATTTTAAAATTTTAGCAGTGTAAGCACCTGAATGTGATCTGGTGTCAGCCTCTGCACTCCCTTTACAGCCGAGCTGGAGTGTGAAAAGAAGCAGTACAAGAAACCAATCAGTTCATGAGCTGACAAAAAGCATACTGATAGGAGGAGAAAGCCATGATGAGCTCATCATAGTACTGTTGCTCCTATACTGTCTGTTAGGGTCCCTCAGGATAGTGATTTTGAAGGGACTTGAACCCTTAGTGGGACTCAAACCCACGTCTCCTGCTAGGACTTATGTTGTTAAGATTTCCCGGGATTCGATCATGCTGCCAGCTTCAGACAAGTACTTGGGAATAAAGAGTCACACCAAATTGTGTATTCACTCTATATTCAAAGGTTTATTGTTAAAACAAACGGTTATTTGTGAAACTAAAAGGGGGATAGTGGAGCATAAACCAATGAAATTCATACACGTATACAACAAGACAAAACTAATGATAGTAAGGATCAGGAGATAACCTTGGAGGGGTTTTGCAAAGTAAACAACCAAAGGCCCCATCAGAGATAAGAGATACAATTTGCAAAGACTAACATTTTAGAAACATCTCAAAGTGGTTTCTGTAGAATATACTGAAAAACACAATTTTGCTTGCTCGGACATTAACTATGTTTAACCCAGAAACAGGCAAATTAAATGAATCACCCTTTCACTGTCCAAGTACATGCTCAAGTCAGCAGCCTGGCTGCACAGTCTAGCAGGACTCTGCAAACCTCATGACTGGATGGACAAATACAGTAATACCTCGGTTCACGAACGCTTCTGTTCGCGAACAATTTGGTTGTTCAGAAAGTTCTGCAAAATCTTGCTTCCGTTCGCGAACTCCACATCGGGTGACGAACACAACTGCGGCCATCTTCCCTGCTCTGACACGTGGTCGTGGCTTCCTCTAGTCGAGATCGCAGTCTGATCGCAGTTTGATTTGGTTCGCGACCAATTTGGTTCGTGACCAGAATCGTGGAACGAATTAAGTTTGTGAACCGAGGTACCACTGTATACAAACCCTTGGGCAGGTCAAACATGTTCTATATATGTATTTTAACTGTATATGAAGCTATTTGCCTATAATTTCCCTTTAAGCCATGCCCATACATTCTCTGCTTATCTGTGCCAGTGAAATAATGATTAAAGAATACTTACTTACTTACAAGTGAAACATGTAGATGCATGGGGAAATTCATGTAAGGCACATAATAATGTTTGTTTTCTTATTTGCAGTACCCTCACCTGAAGAACTGCAGCTTGGGGCTCTGTAACAGTTTTCTAGATGAAATTAGCAAACAGGCCTCTGGTTGTATAATGGACATCTGTGCAGAGCAAAGTAATCTCAGCGAAAAGGTAACTTCCTTAGATACAATACTAATTTCAAATAAGAAGGTGAAGACATTTTGCTTCCTAAAAACCTTTGAGGATTCCTTGTATGTGTTGGCTTTCAGTCTCTTGTACTGGCCTGACTGCTGGCTCATGAAGGGGCTTTCTGTGCACTGTAAATTCCCAGCTCCTGACAGAACAGACAGGAAAGTGGGGTTTAGCAGTAAATAGTTTTCTGCTTGAGTGCCTTACTTTTTCACATGCCTTTAGTTATAGTTTTCTCCATGTGTCCATGCCTGCCAAGCTGTCCAGCAAAAGTGACAGTAACAAGTGTTGGGACAAAATGTAATACTGCCGGGGGGGGGCTTAATATGGTTCAATATTCACCAAGTATTCAAAAATTGTCAACAGTAGTATCATAAAACACCATCCCTGATCTTAATGTACTTTTATATAATTACAATAAATAACACAGAATAAACTGCCACAATAAGCAGTCTATGTATGCAGTACAATAATTATGTACGATCAAGCGCCAAATAGCAAACCACATACAAAATATTCCATAAGAATATGAAAATTGTGTACAGACCAAGCTAATGGAATAAGACCCCTTAACACTTCGGAATCTTATCTGATTCCTTCATCAAGGAGGATTGGTGGTAAATCATCTTCCCTACATTTTTAAATACCGTGGACTCCCACAAATTGGCCATGAATTCTGCATTACCTGGCATGAGGAGAGTCCCAGCCTGTGCTAACCATTGTGTTCAGAAGCCCATGCCCTGGCTGCCACACCCAAAATGATTGACATGTGCAGGTGCTTGGAACATATTCTGACCACATAGCTACCCTCGATAAACAATAATTATATTACCATGGTTACTTTCTACCACCATGGTTTAAATCTGCTTTAAAGAAAATTATAGATAATGGCTTGTATAATAAAATAAAGAATTACTATATTGAACATTATATTTATATGTATTAACTGCATTTGGTAATGCTAGCAGGTATTTTTTTGATTAATATGAAGTGTGATTTTATATGGTAGATCCACTTAGATGAGCAATGGTATGCTACACAGTATTACAAATACAAGCGTCAGTTTTTCTTCCTTTTTAATCTTGCTTGGAGGACACAAGTATTGCAGGAGATAGCTTACTACTTTGTTTGTTGAGGATATCATTCCTATTTGTCACCTACATGGCTATTCACTAAATGGTGAAGAGTTTGGAGAAGGCAGGGGAAGTGAACAATCTAGCTGATTTGGAAAAATGCTCCAAGTCAGCTCACTGTCCAGTTCAGCTATGTTGTCCTAGATTGTTCACTTCTCCTGCCTTCTCCAAACTCCTCAACCTTTAGTGAGTAACCCTGTTAGTATCCATGGCTGGAGAATCTGGCACTTGGCATTAAACTAAATGAGGGCTGTATTAGTCTCCACATTAGGGTCCAGAAAATTAAGAAGAAATCAATTCTGACAGACTTCACTCATAACTTGACTGCCACTTTTGCTGTATCTGACTTTTAAAATCATAATTCCTTTTTTTAGCTGCTACCGAAGCACTGTGCTGCATCTATCAGCAAAGCCAGGAATAAGAAACTGAAGAGGCCCCCACCCAAAAAAACAGAGCCTGAAAGAGAAAAACCGGGTACAGAAAGTAAACGCAAAGATCGCATCATGACCACTAAGTGAGTAAAAAGCCAAAGCAAGCAAATAAATGACTGAGCTAACTGTCTAATTAAATCAAACAAAATAAATAAAATTAATATAACCGTGCAACAATGTCCATACCAAAACAATGACCAGACTTCAATATTGAGAGACTAGAGAGACCATGTATTTTGCTATAAAGGAGGGTGTAGTCCAAAAAACTTGCAGTGAGGCTTTTATGCATTTTAGAGGGAATCATCCCTAAATAGTTATTAACTAGTGAGAAATCTACCGAGGAAATGTATAGCTAAACTTCTCAGGTGGGCCATACACAAGACTTCATGTTACTCTCTGAAACATTAAGAGCGTTATTCAGGAAGCACCCAAAGGATATAGTCGTAGCTTCTGCTAATCCTTTGGTTCACTTCGGCCTCTGGAGCCCTTTGGTTCAGGCAAGCTCAAGGGCTGCTGTACGGGCTATTCACAATAATAAAAAAAAAAACAGTGTCCGGTCCTCCTTCTGATCCATACCAGACCCTTTAAGTCTGGTAGGAAAGTTAGGAGGGGCCCTCCCGAGTTAAAAATAAAAAAAGTGTGTGGGGTTCCCCCCAAAAGTCATACCAGGCACTTTAGGTCTGGTAGTAATTCTAAGGGGGAACTCTACCCACAAAAAATGTGGGTAGAATGTGGGGTCCCCCCCCAGGAAAGGGGGGGGGAGGCGAGTGTGCCATACCAGGCCACATGCCGTTGACATTGGGAGGGTGCCTTTCCAGGTGTCCCCCCCGAAAAAGCACTTGCCCCACGCTGATGAGGATAAGGGCCTCTTCTACCACAACACTGAACTGGTAGTTGTGTTGGTCTGCAGGCATGGGGGCTTATTTGCATCAGGGTAGCCCCTTTAATAAAGGGGGCACACAGATGTTGCCCCCTCTTGTGAATGAGTAAGGTGTACTTGTACCCGTAGTTATTCACTAAAGGGTTAAAGTAAAAAGTAAATAAAGAGCCCACACTTTAAGAAAAAAATCCTTTAATTGAAAAAAAAAAAACCCCAAAACAAATGTTTTTGACAAGTCCTTTAATAAAAAAATTCAAATCCCCAAAATTTAAAAAAAAATAATCCACAGACAATCATGATGTTCAGCGTTGTCCACTCAGCCACCAACTCGTCGAAATAAAAAAAAAAAAACAGATGCCCACTGACCAGCCAGCACGCGACGAACTCCTGATGCAGCATGAAAGATTTACAGATGATGGCGCCAAATGTAAACACATAGGCGGAGCTAGCAGTGACATCACCGCTGGCTCTGCCTATCTGTTTACATTTTGCCAGCATCTGTAAAATCACTATTGCAAGTGGCGGAAAAATTAGGAAAAAACCGGGGGGGAGGGCGGAGTCTGGCGTGATTTAATGGTTGGCTCCGCCCATTTGTTCTCATACAATGACAGGCTACTGTCCTCAAATGACCTGATGCTGAGTCAAATGGCTTCTTCACCTCTGCTCAGCCGGATATGCTGAGCATGTTCGGCTGAACCGAAGCGAGCCAAAGTCAGCCATACTCAGGTGAAGTGAATGGCCGAACGGTGTCCTGCTTCCTTCATGTCGACTCATCTATTTACTCGGTTGCCTTCGGCAGCTTAGTGAATATCCCCCTAAGTTTAGTATTTTCAGGTTTTCACTTGTTAATTTTTTATGACATCCTCACTGCAGTTTCCTAGACTTCATACTGCATAGAGTAAATGGTGATATACTGTAGATCTGATGATTTTGCATTGTATCCATGTATTACCTGGTGAGATCAATCTTTCATACATTTTGGTTGCTAGAAATGGCCGACATACGTATGGTACAGTAAGGGTAGATACGTATGTGCATTGCAAGTTTGGGATGGATTTCTACCCATGGCTATCTGTCTTGACTGATCTGATTGTATGGTGGGGCTGTTAAATGGGGATGGGGGGTGTTCATCAGGTCTGGTGTAAGTCATGAAGTCAAGGTTATCAAGTCAAGTGTGGAGCCTGGGTGTGAGTACTTAGTTATGTCACAGGGAGGTCCTCTATTGCATTCTGGTGCGGTAAACAGATTAACACCTGGAAATAACAGAGACAGGGTGTGGCGCCTCATGTGGCCTGAAAAGACTGGCTGTAAGCCCAAATATATCATTAGAGAAGCATAGAGGCTGCCTTTGATGAATGAGCTCTCCCTATGAAAATGCTAGCTTCCTGGCTATCTTGCTGATCATCTAGCTCCAATACTGACCCAAAATGCTATGCTGTTAAGTTGTTGACTTCTCACCACTCCTTGTGTGGGACACAAGAAGAGTAGTTAGACAGTCTTTGCAGAGCTTATACTATGCAAAAGTATTTTAACGTTATAAACAAAAACAGCAGCAAAGGGTGGGGTTGGTGGGAGTGCTTAAACTTGACTTATGCAAGCTAAAAAGTTTGAATCCAGCAGTTTTCTAAACTCACTTGTGATTCATGGAACACCACCCTTCTGATACTGAATTATCTTTATGATTGTAAGCTCAGTTCTAGTGTGTTCATATGTAAAGTGCACAGATCTTATGTGAATATATGTATATATAAGTGGCCGTGTATGTCTTTATGTTTTTTATTCTCTGTATAATCATTACTTTTATCTGCATGTGGATTTCTTTTGTAGCATGGACAAACTGCACCTGACCCTCAGTGAATTCTCTATAGCACTAAATCATGTCAAAAACATCATGGTGTTCGATCATTTGGTCACTCCAGCAGAGTACCTGAGTTCCCACTTAGAGATGAGACTTAATCGGTAGGTATTTGACATTATGGTATGTACTATGTGTATGAGCCATAATGAGACTGTGTTGTTACTTCTGTTTTTCTGCCGTTTCCATATCATTATATTGATCGGTTTTATCCGTACTGTATACACTTAATGGATATGCTGGTGAGGTTTTGTGTGCTCCAATCCACATATTGGCCACCAAAGTACATTAGATTTCTTTATATGGTTAAAGTATATGTATAGGAAAAAAATGTTGTTTTGGGTAAAGTAGGGAAGGGTTTATTCTTTCTTTGCCCCATAAAGGTATACACACATTTTAAAGTGAGCCTGTCATGACATAAATATGAATGCTGCCATTGCTAAAGTGCTAATTCCTTGGTTGATGTGCTCATCTTTTGGCTTCATTGTCCGCTGACCCAGAATTAAAATACATATTGTGTGTTAAAACCAAACCAGTGACTTAATGAGGAAAAATACCATGAATATTACAGCCAGGGAACTAGATACTTATCAAAAATGGGCAGGAACTGTAACTATGTATGACAGGTTTATTTTAAAGTGAACCTTTTCACCTAAGGAAAATGAAACTAATATTAGAGGCACTCCTTATTTGCACAGACCTAAAGCAGAACTTTATATTTATATTATCTCATACTTTAAAAAAAAAATTGTATTCACTAATGTCATAAATATACAGCACAAATAGATAAAAGCAAGTAGCAGTTGCATTTAGGAGAAAAGCAAAATTTACAGAGATAATATTACACATGTGCATAAAAAGACTCAATTGGGAAATTCATGAAAACTGGAGCAGACAATGACAACCAATCGGCTTCTCTCTTTAGTTTGTTTTAGTTAAGTTTTAAAAATGAAACAGAGAAGCTAATTAGTTGCCACGGCAACTGCTCCAGATTCTGTCTATTCCAGTTTTTATTAATTCCCCTCTATATGTGAAACAATATACAATAAATTTTGCTTGGATAGTCTTCAAATTCCAAAGCACAATAGGCCTGTGCTATAGGGTTTTATGGCCCACTCCTAATGGGGTACAATAAAGCACTAAATAACAGCCAGAACACTTAACAGATCCCAGTCAAAAAAATAGATGGTCTGGACTGATAATGGCCAGTTGACACTTAACGAGCTCTACCAATAAAACTAGTTTCCAAATTTCACGTAGTAATCATAACCAAAGACACACATTACCCCTTCTAGGGAGGCATACAACACAGATATGTCAAGTCTGGTATCTATACAAAGCTAGTTTCATAACAAACAATGATCTATATTTAATCAGGTGGGTGCATTAAATTATAACTTCTTTGGTGAAACTGACATAAAGGAAGGACCAGGTGAGGGATCATAAAGTGCTGCCGCCCTCCTGTCTCAGCCCCTGGGCCTTTCTGATGTGTTGGGGGAGCTGGCTCAGTGACACGCTCTAGAGTACCCACAAAAAGCTGCTGCAGGAGGCAGCTAAAGCTCTTGTTTCCCATCAAGAAACAATATCTGCTAAGAGACGTGTTTTAAGAGAGTCAATACCAGATACATTTTCTGCCAACTTCACTGAACTCTGCTGGAACCCATAGAACCCAGGATTTTGCTAAGTAATTTCAGTCTTATTCCCTTTTTGTTTTACTGTTGTATTATTTGTCTCTTTTATGTAAAATAATTTTGTATATTGTTTGCACCGTTTCCTTTATTAAAAAGTATCCTTTAAATTGTTAAGCTTATCTCTACGCTCTAAATAAGAACCTAAAGAATCCTTGTCTCTGTGAAGAGTGCTACCATATTTTAAAACCTGTTGTATTCCTGTCTGGAGAGAAAGTGAGCATCACAGGCATTCCTTTAGTTTAGAATTGTTACAACTTTTGCTGGGAATGGTGTGCGTTTCTGTTAAAACATGTGGTGGCAGCTATCATTTGTGTATGTAAAGGGTTTACTACAGAGTTAACCCACCCCAGGGACAATCACTCTCATTCTGCTGGCCTTAGATTGTTGTCCCACGAACTGTAAAATCTCTGTGCAGAGTGAGGCTGAGAAATTATATTGTCATGTATTGGTGGCAGCACGGTAGGATCGGAACCACGTATCGTCACATATTGGTGGCAGTACAGTGAGATCGACCCTACCATTCATCACAGGTTGATTTAAAGAACCACAGGTACTTCCAAGCACCACAAAGTGTCTGCACCTAAGCACTGTTGTTATATATATTTATGTTGTGCCTCTACCTCTGTTGGAGGAGGATTGGTAATGCCCAAAAATGCATTGGCTACCTGCTGATACAGTTGCGACCAAGAAAAAAATGACCAGTCTTTTAACTGCATCTTTCCTATGCCCTTTTCTCCACTGTGCACCATGTTAAGATGACTCTAAACATAGTAATTAAATCACAGGAGTGAGCTTGGAGCAGTGGCTACTTTACAACACACACAGAGACCATGGGGAACAAAAGTAGCCACCATCCAGAAGGAAGGACTGGGCCAGCATGAGTTAAGAGATGATTTGAGGATCTACAGCTGAGTGATACACAAATAATATACATTTTTGTTAATAATTGAGCTACTTGCATTTTTGAGATTAAACTCCTGAGCTCAGTGTCACTTTAAGTTGTTCAAAAGATTTGCCCGCAAAGTGACATGGCAGTGATTTGCAGTTTCCAGCTTGAAAGTATTTCATCCAAATATTTAGATTTCAATATTTAAGGTAGATAATCTAGATATTAAAGTAAAATTAAACATTCAAATTTTTTTACATATATCTACAGCTGGCAAGCAGTAGACATATGCAAAAACATTTAAAAAATAAAGAAAGTTACCAAACAGGTTGTTAGTTACTTGTGTCTCCGCCGCTCGCTCCCGTCCAAAGATTCTCGAGCGGCCGTAAAGGATCATGGGGTGAGCGCCTGCGCAGTAGAGATCTTTGGCCAGGAGAAGAGGAGAGACACAGGGTAAGTCAATACACGCAGCCCAGCAGCGTGCACGCGCACAGACACTGTGGAACACAGAAGACACAGCAGTTAGCGCTGTATCAGAAACCGGCACCAGCGCTGGAAGGACTCCTGAAAACTACTGCAAAGAAGGAGATGATCGGATCAAGAGGCATCATTTAAGGTAAGTCCATTTTTGCCGTGATTCATTTTCTTAAAAGAGAACTATGAGCCAACTTTTGTTTGCCCATAGTTCTCTTCAGGGTCACAGGAGGACATATACTAATTGCCCGCTATATGCTGAGAGCGCAGGGCAGCGACTCACCCGAGACGGATCCTGACAATACTGTCGAGATCCACCCCATTGGCTGAATGACAGCTGGCTCTGCCTCCCTAGAGGCAGAGCCAGTTGTGCCCGCCCCCTCCCTGTCAGTTCCTCCAGGTCAGCACTGGAGAATTGGAGAAATCCGTGCAGGGAGAGAATCGGGAAGTCAGCGATCGGCGTTATGTATTCACTGACTTCCCAATCAATAGAGCTGACCTGTGACAGCTTCAGTGTCACAGGTCGGCTTAAATTATGGGGATGAGTGTTTTTCACTCACCCCATAATTCTCATTTTGAGCTGGCTATGTTGAAATGTCAATTAATAAGGAAATCAAGTGGTTCAGTTTCATCAGAATGCCAACAATTATTTGTGAAATATGATCTAAGATCCAACTGTTAACACATATTCTGGTTGTTGTAATGCAATACGATATTGTATCCAAATTGTAAAGATAGAATCAAGACAAACTTAAAGAATTTCCCATTAACATCACTAAATCAACCTTTCAAATGTTTTGGCAGCATCTGGAGTTGCTATTTTTCTAGGTTGTTCACTTTTTTTTGTGCAAACGTAAATGTTAAATATTCAAGACAAAATATTTAATTGCTCAAGGCAGCAACAACCTTTGGGCATACCACAACAGCTATCAGCTGCTGACATGACATGTTGTCCATTCATCACAGTCCAGTTACAGTAAAAAAGGCTGTACGCTCAACTCAGCTCTTCAGTAAATGTGTTTATAATTACAAGTGTACAATACAGCCAACCAAGTCTCTATAAATGTATTTATAGAGCCTTTTTGTTATCATTGTTCGGGTCTTCAAGGTCAAAGGTGTATTAGGCACAAGGTTTATTGGTATATGATTAATTATGGCTGTAACCTCCTGGACCAGTCTGTGAGTCAAAACTTTCATAACAATTTTGAAGTCATCACTTGAAAAAGGAATATTTGTCTAAAGTGAATTAGACAGTGGGGAGGTCCTTGTTATGTTTGTCATTAAATGTCATCATGGCTTTCCTTATGTAATTCAGCAGTTATATATGAGAGTCAAGGGATCAAAAATATTGGGCTGCCCAACAGTACTATTGGGTTGCCCAACAGTACCTGGAGTGATTTGTATATCATTCATTTATTATCAATGAGGTTCTCTGATTCTGTTATATGAGTGGAGTTTAACAGCAAAACATTTTTACAGTTGTTCTTTCCTGAGCTTCCATGAATGGAATATGCATGCAGGGTAGTGAAGGGAGTATACTTTTACCATTTTCCATTATTCACAGACTAAAAGGATTTTCTGATTTATTTCTGAAAGTAGAAGCTGAAGAGTGACACGAAACAATATAAAATGCTGCTTCTCAAATCAAAGTTTCCTGTGTTATTGTGAGAGTGCCACTAAACTCTATGAAATGCTGCTTTTGATATCAAAAGATTCCTGTGTCACTGTGAGAGGTAATCATGAAATTATGCAGACTGGTTCTTCTTTACAAGGCTTGCTAAATCCCAGGAGACTGGAATCAAATGCCTCTAAAAAAATACAGCAGACATACTGTATAAATCTTTAAAATGGTTCCATAGTTCCCCATAGAAGTGTATGTTCCCTGGCTCCTTTAAAGGGAAGATCCACCCAAAACAGATTTCTCCATTGTGGTTTTAGTAGGGAATATTTTATCTATTGCATCATATTCAGCGCTTGGAGGGGAAACCTCCTCTGACCCCCCCAGCCTGTGACAAGCTAAGATCTCAATGGAAAGCCAAGCTACTCTTGCTGTTGACTTGCAATTTCTCCATATAATCCTATCAATAATCCATATATGCAATCCATAATCAATTGTAAAATTATTTTTGTTCTTGGAAGCCCTTCTAGATTTTTCATTGGAAAATGTGTCATGGTTGTGCTAGGGTTAGGTTCTTGGATCCTTCATACATTCTTTTTGGCCTTACATTTATTTATGGATCCTATTTATGGAAGTAAGATCCGATAAGGAAATTAAAAAAATGTTACATTTTAAAGTATTGCATGTCTACATGCCTATATCCTATTTTGTTTTTTGTAAAACTCTGGCACTCTCTGCAGACAAAAGTCCCATATGAACACACACACACACACACATATGTCCCTACTATAACACTGTATTCTGTATTTATGTCCTTACTGGAAGAGAATAGCTTTATGTATCCTGAACACAGAGGAAAATATACAGTATGTCTATAAACCCACTGTTAGTGTAATGGTTTTGCTATATGTTGCATCACTAAGTAGTAGTAATTTTTGTAGCTGTTGTATTTAGAGATTTGGCCCTTATATACAACTTCATTCTTTCTAGGGCCCTTGTATCGATGACGAACTGGAATCCTGCCATTCGGGAGATTCAACGTCCATCCGAGGTTTTAAGTGGGATGAGATCTTTTCTCTGCACATTGCAGTCTGTTGCTCATCTGGTGAATATTGATGTCACACGTACTATCCGCAGCACACTACTGCAACAAACCCAAGCAAATGATGCTAATGGAGAGCAGACTATCACCACATTGTATACCAACTGGTAAGCGTTCTCCTGTCCTGCACCTCTAATTTGGAATTGTTCCCCTTGTTCTCAGACCAGCTGCCAATAATAAATACTATATGCATTCCCTGGAATTATCTGTTTAAACAGCCCCGATGCTGGCGACGTACACTGTACGTCATCAGTCACGAAGGGGTTAAGCAGAACCTATCATATTGCCTAGCTATCTCCTACCCACTGCTTTTTAACTACAAAGCATGGTAATTCATCTACTCTTCTATACCATTCACCCATTTAACACATACTTCTTATTAGGTCCATGCCCCTTTATGTGTGGAGAAATTCTTTCACTTTCTAATCTACAACATTTATTTAATGGCTTTTGGTTTATGCTTTTTAGAAGTGACATGGGTCTAGCGGATTTTTTAAAAAGGAAGTAATTTTCAGCCCTTGTAAATGTGAAAAAAACTACAATGCTAGCCGGTAATACATCAAAGTATTGTGCTCAGAAATTATGTCATGGATGTGATGCTATCAGGGTTATTCACAAAAGGGTGAAGAGTTTGGAGAAGGCAGGAGAAGTGAACAATCTAGGGCAAAATAGCTGATTTGGAAAAAGTCTCCAATTCAGCTCACTTTCCAGTTCAGCTATTTTGTTCTAGATTGTTCACTTCTCCTGCCTTCTCCAAACCCTTCACCCTTTTGTGAATAACCCTGTATGTCTAAGAGAAAATAAGCAGTTAAAAGAGTAAAGTGTTTTGTAGTGGAGTATAATGTAAGTGTCTGTAAATAATTAAGGTAAACACACACAAAAATCCTGCAAACTTGTGGACTTCTATGCTGCTTTTGCTAGGATAGCACTTCCCGAGGGGATCACAGGTGGCTTATTGTTTTACTTTGTTTCCATTCTTTTTCTAGTTAGATGCTGTTGCTAGACCATTCATTTTTAAAAACAATCATCCTGTAAGATTATGGGGGTGATTTACTAACCTAAACACACACACGCACCAGGTGCGTGTGCATTTTTACACAGCAAAACGTATTTATCAACCAAACACGAGCAACGTGTCACATTTTCACGCCGTTATGGCACGTTTTTATGTATTTACGTACGTGCGCATCATGTAGCATGCGCCATAGGCTACACGCCGCTCTAATAGCGGCATGCAAGTCTCTAAAAGCATATTTCCACTAATGCCATATATGGAAAAATCATGCACATGATGCATATATAATGCTGCTTCACAGTTTAGACAAAAATGGTTAGCTCATACATTTACATTCCTGCATTGATCAACGCAAGCAACACAACGTAGAGCTAATTTACACAACATCACCTTGCAATTCATGCAGGGCTTTGCATGGCTTTGCACAACACACCTGCTGGGTGTGTACACACTACAAAGGTGTCTAGATTCCACCAATAGATCATGCTGGGAGGGAACACACTACAGAGGTGTATACTTGTTCGTTGCATGTTTATAAGGTTAGTAAATCAACCCCTATATGTGCATCTTGTGTAGACTTCCAAAAGTTGTAAAACTGCTGCTGGGTGCCACCATATTCAATGTGATCACAGCAACCCCAGCAGACTCAGAGTTCTCTCAAGTGACACTCTATAGTATTCTGTTTTGCTTCAAGAAATCTTCTCCGGGGTACTCCTTCCTGCCAACCTCTCTTCTAAGTTCTTCCCAGAAACTGAAAGTAAATGTGCCAATACTTGCTAACGCTTTAATAGCGGGGTGCAGTATTTCCGGTCCCTTTGGGTTTTCAGAATATGCTCCTATTTTTTGTGTGAAGAAAATGGAGGGTGGATGGAAGCCTAGCATTGACCGGAAGAGACTCATCAGGTACATCCTGTTGAAATGTTTTAAGATGGAGTCCCTTCAAACAATAATAATGTCTATCCAACCGGGGAATTAGATGCTATCGGTGTGCCTGAAAGGTTCTTACTTCCACATTCCAATCCACCCACCCTTCCAAGGTTCCTGCATTTTGCATTGGTGGTTGCCCATCTACACTGTCACTTAGAATCTTCACAAAGGTCCTGATTTCTGACCTAGCCGCCCTCAGGAAAAAGGGACTTCGAGTGCATCATTACCTGGACAATGTACTACTTCTGGTCTGCTCCAGGTAAGTCCTTTTATCCAATACTGAAATCCTGCTGTGGATCCTCCAGTCGCTTGGGTGGATGAAAAAATAGGTGGAAGGGACTATCTGGGTCTTGCAGCTGATAGAACTGATCTTGCTCCCTGGGAGAGAGCCAATATCCTTTGCTATATTGAACAGGGCTCCATGTAAATCAGCTTCTGATAGGGAATGAGCTAACTTTTCTTCCAATTTATGATCCACCCAAATGACTGCAGGATCAACAGCTGGATTTTGGTCTGGGATAAGACTTCCTTGGAATGAGCTAGAAGTAGGACATCATCTTGACCCTAAAGGATGGTTGACCCAACCCAGGGCTCCTGACACGTAGTGTAACGATATGTATGATGCTATGGAGGCACCAGGAAAAAATGGTTATGTAGGGGGGTAGGGGAGGGGTTGATTTGTTAAGCCGACCCGGTATAGAACGTAGTAAGCCACCCTCAGGAGTGGAAAAGGCTATGACATGCAAGGATGGAGGGAACAGTAAGGATTTCGGATACTAGATGTTTCTGTGCTTTTATCTAAAAATAAAACAGGGTCAGGGGTATAGGTAACGGCAATGCAATACTTCCATCCAGTTTGCTCATCCCCCACTAGAAGTAGCATTGTTGGAATCAATCAAGTAGTAATTATGTACTTAATAATTGTACTTTCTTTAAAGTGTATGTGAAGCTCAAACTATTTTAGTTTTGGATAGAGTGAAAAAAATGTTAAAGGGTAATTCCACTTTCCCAGGCGAATTTGGGAAAATTGAATTGCCCCCTCCTATCTGACCGCCTATTCCCCACCCTGCTATACTTACCTTTGGCCAAACACTCCTTTCGCTTGCAAATGGCGAGCGCTCATTGGTCAGAGCAGTCAGGTAACCGCACTGACCAATGAGTGCTTGCAATTTGCAACGAGAAGCTCTTCTCTTTTGTTACAAGGACAGGAAATGCAGGTATATCTTTAAATGGGGACCTCTGTTCAAATGACAACAAGTTGAGATTTCCCCTCAGTTTGCTGAGATTTCCTATTACCCTCTGTTGTGTATGTAGGATAGGAAGTGAAGGGGAATCTCCCCTTCAGTGCACAGACAGCAAAAAAAAAAAAGAAGAACCTGACGGTGGTTTTAACCCTCCCTACTCTATATTAAATGAAACAAAAATGTTGGCTTTACTTACACTTTAACAGATGTGCTTTATATTACAAATAAACAGTTGACACGAATCACATTCAAGTTCTAATGGAAAAAAAATGGTTGTGTCTTTGCACCAAGGTACCTGGAGTGTCTTCTTCGTCAAGCCAGTACAGGGTTAATAGTGTATTCACCAACAATGAAATGCTTTGTAGATCTACCAGCAGACATGAGTGGAGAGCATGGCCTAAATGCTGATGAATACACGGATGTGTCAGGTGAGATCTCTAATGTCTTCTATAAGTATTTTATATATGTAACAGGTGAAACTTTGCTCTGCCGTATCAATAGTCCTAACTGAGAAAAAGGTCAGATGACAAACATACTAATAAACCAAATGATTTGGATAATCTTGACCAGAGTCCATAAGGCACTTGCAGGTCAGTGCTTAGAGCAGCTATGTTAGAAGGCAGAACACAAGCGTTTTTCCTGTTGTCTGGCCACTAGCAGATCTTTGTCAGTGGTCAAGAGATAGTTTTTTTTTTTATAGTATAGGACAGGGGTGCCCACGAGGTCGATCGCGATCTACCAGCCGATTGCGTAGCGATCACTGGTAGATCGCGATGTCCTCTCCTCCCACCGGTGGGGCTTCTCTGGATCCCCGCTGCTCTCCCCATCTGTAAGCAGCGGGGATCCGAGAAGAAGTGAAGGAACCAGCGACGGGGGAGGACGGAGCCGATGTCATAGAACTAATGCCGAGCGCTGAGGAGAGAGATGATCGGTCTAGATCTGACAGCCGGCGCCATCCTCTGTGCAGGACAAACACTGGAGCGATCAGCTGATCACTCCAGTGTTTGTAAATAACTGGGGACACATAGTACTATGTGTCCCCAGTTATAAATGAACAGGATGTGACTTACATCACTTCCTGTTCATTAATGAGTTAGAACAGGAGCTGCAGAAAAAGGGATTGAAGACTTTGTTTCCTCAATTTATTTTTCTATTTTAAAAGGGAAATATCAGGGGGCTGTTTAGACCCCTAATATTTCCCCGAAGCCCCCCCAACAGTAAAATAAATAAATATTAAAATAAAAATAATAATATAAGAAATAATAAAAGTAAAAAATAGTAAAAAATTAAAAAAAAAATCCTGGAGGCAGGGCGCTGGGTGACATCACACGCCTTTTGGGCGGGGGGACAGTTTTTTTTTGCCTCGGGTGCAAAAGGAGCTGGCTACGGCTATGCTCCCACGTTGCTTGTGCGGCTGCCGGCTGAATGTGCAGACGCCGCAGATGGAAAGGGCCAGGATACCTCTCCTCATGTGCAATGTCGGCCACACATGCACCCCGGGAGGATAAGACGCCGGGTCCTCTAGGACGCACTGGAATGTAAGCCGGCCAACTCCCTGCATTCAGGGATTGGGGTTGTATTGAATGCTTCTCATCTCCAGATGAAAAATTGTGGGCGCCCCTGGTATAGGACATTGAATGCTCCTTTGAAGGCTAAAGGGAAAAAATGTCTATGGAGAGAGACAAATTGAACAGCTCAGTCAGTGCAGGCACAAGGATAGAGGATGGGGTCAAAATGGACAAGTTCAAATAGATTGTGGAAAACGATGATCACAGGAGGGTGGTTATTATGTTTAGTAACTTGGCTGCGGGTAGTTAAACGTAGATGTGTGATGGTAGTTTGGTGCAAAGAGAGCAGGTAATGTGATGGAGTTTAGATCTCTGCTAAAGACACTGCTCATGATATATTTTTCTTTGATTGAATTGAAAAATGCCCTATTTTTACAGCAATACTTTTCGCCCTCTGCCTAAGAGAGGTAGTATACAGTATGTGGCTTAGTTGCTTCTGATGAGAAATATGTAATTTCTCTTTGCTTTGAAAGAGCTGCAGTGAAATGTCAAAATGCAGCTAAGCTGCACAATCTGTTTTATGTTCTGTTTATTAAAGGCCAACTCCATCCATAGCTCATATTTCGGATGTGGATAGACATCAATGGATGGAATGACCCCTGGCTTTATATATCCCATGGGGATTCTTCTGGTAATAGTTCAGCACTTTGTTCCCACCTACAAGGTTATGAAAAGGTGTAACTCTCTTACAGCCTAACCCTTACAAATTATTTTTTTAAATGTAACATTATGGAGAATCTGTCAGAGGATTGTGGCACCATCATCTGGCTGTGCAATGTTTGTGTTTGCACAGTCTTGAGCAAAAATTACATATTGGTTTTGAATAGGGCTACAATTTATTTCAACTGTTAAACTAGCCAACAGCATCCGAATCCTACCCTTAATTTGTCAATTGGGTGAGAGTTAGACCATTTATGGGGCACCTTGTGGACAAAAAATCAGTTCTGACATCCAAAATTATTTTTTCTGACAAAGATTTTAAAACTTAGAAAATCTCTGAGCAACCCAATCAATCCTACCTCCAATTTGTCACTTGGGTGAGAGTGAGGGCCTGTTCACACCAGTTGCAGTGCGTTTCAGGCTGAATCTGGCCAGAACGCGCTGTCTCGCATTGCGGCCGGCTCACTTTTTAGTGGGGCAGGAGGGGGCGTGGCGGCCATAATGTGCATTGTGATCCCGCGTGGCCGATCGCATTGCGGCCGGAGGGAGTGGCTACGATGCCGTTCACTTCAATGGCCCGCCACGCCCCCTCCTGCCCCACTAAAAAGTGAGCTGGCCGCAATGCGAGGCAGTGCGTTCTGGCCAGAATCGGCCCAGAATCCACTGCAACTGGTGTGAACGGGCCCTTAAACAATTTATGGGGACACATTGTGGACAAAAAGAATCCGTTCTGACGTCCGAAGTGATTTGATTTTTCCTGACAAAGGTTTTAAAACTTAGAAAATCTCTGCACAATCCAACCAATACTTTCTTCTGCAGAGTAAAATGTGCATGTGCTGCATTCATTTGTTGGACAAGTTGCACAGTTGCAATGCAGTAGGGCCCAATTACCCCACCACTGCCCCAATTCGGTGTCAGCCAGATTTCTTATGTGAAGTAAAATACAGAAAGCTGATATTAGGACATATTTGTATCAATCCTAGCAGCTTTAAAAAAAAAACAAACCCAAAAATGTAATGTGCTTTCAATGAATGTATAAACCAGATAAAAATGTTTGTAAAATCAGTCTTTAAAATCTCATATAAGCTTTAACATAATATAATCTCAAAAGTAATTGAAATATTTTTAATTCTGCAGCTTATATTACAGTAATACCTGGTGGCTCTGTCCTAAACTCATTGGGTTCTGAAAAGGAGTCTATGACATCCTTAACAAGTGCAAAAAAATGGCTGACTTTACCACCCCTTTGAAAAGTGATCAGCATTGCTTTTCGGAGATGGTTGAGCAACAGGCAATTGAGTGTCCATGCGTTCAGTAGGTCTTAAATGCCTGTGTTTTTTATTTTTTTCCTGTCCCGAGGGATCTTCTATAGAAATAATGTGCCACAGCTCTGTGCCAAATGCTTGTGACACAGTCCTATTGACTTCAGTAACAACCGTGACATGCTGAGTTGCTGTGAGGCAAAGCATCGCACTCATGGCAATATGTACAAACCTCTCTGGCCACCATGCTAATGTGTAGGTAGGTATTCAAAAAGCAGTAAAATGTGGATCACCTGTCTGTTTTATCACCCCTTTGCCACCCGTGTGAACTCGGTCTAAAAGACTCCTGCATAGTTTCATTAAATTAGCCAATATCTAGCCTTTCAGGACACATTTGGACCCTGTTTTTCATAATGCTGGCAGCTAAAATATCCATTGCATGAACTTGGAAAAACTTGCCTTTTTTATCTCTAGTCACAAGCAATTTTCCTGGATTATGGCTCACTAAAAACTAGCCAGCATTCTGAATGAAAGACAATCACAGTTTTAAATAATCTGGAACCCATAGTATCAATTTATCCAATCAGAAGGTGTCCTTGCAGTGACCCGCTAATATGGTAACTATAAAGATCCTCAGGCTTGATGTCCCACTAAAACCACAAGCTAGCCTTTCTCGGGCCCTCTATCCCCTCTTCTCTCCATCCTCTTTACTTCCTCCCCTTCTATCCTTTTAATAATATTTGCAGTGTTCTTTACATTGATCTTTATTCTTAAAACCAAAAACGCCTCAGCAAGAATAATCTATATTAAAGAACTCTGGTCAGTTAAAAATGTAACCCTTGAAGTGGGGCTACCCCCGCACTGCAAGGGTTAAGTGCTCCTTTTAGTCTAGAGTCTAAACACCTTAGACCAAAACCAGCACCTAGCCTTTGCAGTAAGCGGAGTAAGGTGATATAAGCATGGGATTTTATTTCTTTCCTAGCTGTCAAATTATGGTGCTATAGTGAAGGTGTCAGTTAGAAGAGGCAAGGAAGTGTTCCACTCTACTGTTTCCTATCATAGGGCAACTTGCATAATATTATTATTGTTATACAGGATTTATATAGTGCCAACAGTTTGCGCAGCGCTTCACAATATAAGGAAGACATTACAATCACAATACAATTGAAGACAAGATGGTAAGGAGGGCCCTGCCCCTGAGGGCTTACAATCTAGATGGGAGGGGCAAGTGATACATGAGGAGGTGGCTGTGTGGGGATGAATTCTTTAAGAAATTAATATTTCAGGGGTTAGGTTGCGGTGGGATAGGCTTCCTTGAAGAGATGAGTCTTAAGGGATTGCCTAAAGGCAGTCAGTGTGGGAGATAGATGGACCGGTTGGGGTAGAGTTCCAGAGGATGGGAGAGACTCTAGTGAAGTCTTGGAGGCGAGCATGGGAGGAGTTGACGAGGGAGCTGGAAAGCAGGAGGTTTTTTGAAGAGCGGAGGGGACGGTTAGGGTGATATTTTGAGACAAGGATTGAGATATAGCCGGGGGCAGAGTTGTGGACGGCTTTGTAAGTGGTTGTTAATATTTTGAATTTTATCCTCTGGTAGAAGCAAGTGGTGGGATTTGCAGAGGGGGGTTGCAGACACTGAGCGTTTGGTTAGGTGGATGAGTGTAGCAGCTGCATTCATGATAGACTGAAGGGGGATAGCCTGTTTAAAGGTAGGCCAATGAGGAGGGAGTTGCAATAGTCAAGACGAGATATAATAAGTGAGTGGATGAGTAATTTTGCGGTTTCTTTGGTGAGGAAGGGACGTATTTTGGAGATGTTACGAAGGTGAAGGCGGCAGGATTTGGATAGTGATTGGATGTGGGGAAGAAAGGTCAAGGCTAACACCTAGGACCTTGGCATGCGGGGTGGGGTTTCCAACAGAGACCCCTACAGAGAGAGGAA